GCTAGTATTTGTCTATTAATATGGACTGTTATTGCTGCTTTGCTGTCCATTATTTAGCAAAATGATTCTCCTTTAGAAAACAAGACGTTGTTAAACTTTTTGTGTGGGAGAGTGAAGAGCCAATGTCGTTATTGTCTCCCTTATTTTGTAGAAAACCATGAGTAAAGTAAACTACACATTGGCTATCAATTCTTTTGAGTGTAAAAACAACTACAAAATGTACCAATTTTAGGTCTGCCAAAGTCACAGACGCAGTGTCGTCCTCTGAGCAACATCAGCAATGTTGGATAAGAAATGGGCCTTCGACATAATGCCCTCTTTATTATCCTCGACAGGTCCGCCCCGGACAAGTCAGAAAACTGGGAACAAACGGTTAAGTCTTTATGTACAACCCAAAGTAACAATTCACCGAAGCAAGTGGCTTTTCAAGATCTTCTATAAAAATTGTTTGAACATGCATATCATTGATTTCAAATGAATTTTAAAAAAGCACTCATTCAGGAAAAAAACCCTTAAGCATCTAGCCTTTGTTCAATTGTTCTCTGCATTGAAAAAAATTTGTAAACTGGTTGGTTTTAGGAATACTGAAAAAAGAGCTGCTGAGCGAGGGAGGGTCATTTAAATTTGAAAACCTGCAAACAGGAAGTTGATGAGAGGCCCCGCCCCAACAGCTTCATCATCAGTTTTCCTACTCTGGAAACCTTTCGCCCACATCCAGGCACTTGAGGTTGTCCAGCATTGCATTTCTTGTTTTTCATGTCTTTTGTTTTTTGCAAGTGTGAAGTTTTTTTTCTTTTTTTTTTAAAACAACATTTGCAACAGTTTGTTGCTTTTTTAGTTACTTCTTCCTCTTGTAAATAAGATAAATTGCTTTATGTTGCATAACACAAAAAACCCTTACATGTACAGTATCAAATGCCCAATAACTGACTATATGTATGGCAAACTTTTTCAAAGTTCATGCATAAAGAAAATATGAGTTTTCTATTGAAATAAGTGAACATAACAGACGAGCAATAAAATATCTCCACGTTTAAAAAACAACATCAACAACCAAAGAAAAATTAGCATTAACACATTGTACATTCTGATTGCATTGTACCCACTGTGAGGAGGCGGAGTCATGGTCTCTGCCTTTTGGATTGAATCTGATTTGAATCTTTGACCATTTGATTTCTGTTGAGGCTCCAATAAAAATTCACCACGGTGTCGTACAGTAAGTTGTTAATGATTTTTTTTTCTAAAACTTGTTACATGTTTTAACTGGGTGGTGAAGCAACAGTTGTGTCATTATATTACAAAAACGTGAGAGTGTGTCGACAAAAACTTTCAAACAATCCCAGACTGCATCAGCAAGCAACAGGTAGAGCCTTTTTTTCTTTATTTACAATACTTTGCCTTAAGAAAACAGATTTTTTATTTGAGATGCAAATAATCAACAAAATGCTTACTGGATTTATATGGTAAAAGTCACGATTAGATGATGCTTTCAAAGTAAGATTGAAGACAATAGTGGGAGTACAATGCATTAAAACAGTATTTCTGTTATGACAAAGTGCGACTTATTATTGTAAAGGAAAAAGGAAAAAAACATATATTTATATTTACATACCTTAATTTAATTCAAATGAACATTTTGTGGTTCTTGCTAAGGACGCCCCACCTGAGTCCACTATGATTTCATACATGATGGTTCTGGAATCAACTGGAGTAAAAACATGCCGGTTGTCATTCTTCTTAAAGAGAAGATAGAAAACACCAAAACGCTTACTTGTGTGTGTGTGTGTGTGTGTGTGCGACTTGTTGTGAGAACCACTGAGATGGAGATTATTGGATATTGTTATTGATCATCCAAACAAAGTGCTCACTAAAAAAGGTGCCTTTACCATGGCATGTTTTTATTTCCAGTATCTAATCCAGGGTTCGATGCAAAGAGAGAAACATATTGATTCAATGCAAACCCAACAACAGGGAGAGACGGTTTGCTTTAACTTCACACTCGATGCTTTTCCCCCCTCAGTGGACGGCGATGGCTTCCTGAAAAACCCACAAAACCACGGTGGCACTGTGGAGAGTTCAACTGCTTGTTTCGTTCATCTTCGAATGAGTTTGTATCTTTTATATTTTCAAACTCCATGAGCACAGAGAAACAGAGTAACTGTCTATTTTTTTTCTTTACATATCGCTATGTAGTCTCTTAAATAGCTTATAATGTCTTCAAAATCCTCCTCATCCCTCACCATGACGGGAACGGCCATGGAGACGTTTTCAGGGAACTGCGGGTTGAGTGTGAGCGCTGCCCTCCAGGCTGCACTGCTGTAACACCTCTAAACAGCTGTGTAGCTCTAATATAAGACGATCATCTTTTAGCATTAGTATCACGGATGTGTATCCAAAAGTCTCCGAAAATACAGGCACAACCACGTTTTGTGCTATACATGTGTCATGTCATCCTTGTGATCCAGTTTTTTTTTTTTTTACGTCTTGTGAGTGTGGAAGGTGCGAGTCAGTGCTTGATTTAGAAACACGTGCTTCCATGTTGCAGAATTGTACTTTGCTGTTTTTAGTCGTTCTCCAAAGGAAACATTCACTTGACTGTTCATGGGCATGGATAAGGACACAGGTCCTCGTCTCTTCTCTGTGGTCCGAGGGTGAGTCTTTGAGTTGTGTGTTCTGGAGGGCGAGCGTGATGGACAGTGGTGCGATGCAGTTGGCCCAGGACTCCTGGGTGTGGTCGTGGTCAGATGAAGTTGGGGATCATGGCGAGAGGGGTAAATGGTTGGGCGGTGAGTTTAGCTGCTTGGTTACTTGTCAGCCAGCGTGTCCTTGGGCGTCCCGTCCATGTCACTGTTGGTCTTGGGCCACAGCTGCTGCTGTAGCTCCTTTACCACCCTCTCCAGGTGCTCCCTGGCCTCCCGCTCAAGCAGCAGGTCGGCTCGGAGCTGCTCGCGGTCGGCCTCTGCGTGCTGCAGCTTCATCTGGAGGTCCTCGATCTGGTAAACACATGGCAGGAAACAGATGAAGTCATGAAACAGAGCAGATCTAACTCCAGGACAGTTTGGAGTAGGATGATAAAATCACTCTTCTAAACAAGCATCTTCCAAACACAGCTCAAGGAACTATATCATTCAAGTGGCTGTTGGCACTATAGAGTCCTACAGCCATCTTCTAGACATCAGTCTATGGTTTCCTACAGCAGGCCTGATATCATGTTCACAGGTAGTTGTGTAATAACTATTAAAGTTGTGTAATAACCGTGTAAATGTGTAATAATGTTTGTGTTAAATTGTAATTATGACTGGAAACTGCAAATAACGTGTTTAATTTCATCATTAAGGATATAATCAATCTAAAGTTAAAACAGTGCACACAGATTTTACTGTTGATGCAAACCCTCACAACAATGGTACAACTCTCTTGTGTGATCCGATGACATGAATATTCCAGAGCCAGTATTGGGATCTGGTGCCTTGAAACAGGTGGCGGTTTTAGTCAAATTAATTTTGGAGGACAATGGTCACTGACAAGAAGATTCTGAAAACTTCAAAAAAACCATCTTGCAGACAGCTGTCCGAGGGCGACTGCAGTCTCTGCAGGAGGCACACAGATGCAGTTGGAGAGCATAACCTCCCTCATGTTTTGTCTAATCTGCATTTCCCATGGTGCCTGAGGGAAGTTGACGTTTCTTCCTGTTTCCTTTCAGTGGGGGACTTACACGTCTGTGCACTTGGAGCTACACCCATTTATTTTTGACTGTGGAAGAGGAAATGTGTTTTTTTTTCTTGCCTTCTCCTCTGCTGACCTTGAGAGTATTTAAGGGAGTGAAACACTGCAATTACTCTGAGGGTGTTGTCTAGACTTTGCACACATTGGACTGTTAAGTGTGTGCCTCTATGCATGGCCTTGTCTGGTTTCATGTGTACCCATGTTCCTCTAATATACTCTCATGTTTAAGTTTCATCGCATCTTTAACAATGACAAGCCTTAAAGGGGAACAGATTCTCAAAACCTAGCTTAAGCCACATCCACATGTAACCGACCTGTGCTGAGTATTTTGCACGAAGACGTCCGGCCTCGCAGCCTTTGTCGCAGACCCTCAGCTGTCGAGCCTGCTCCAGCTCCCGCTTCAGACGGATCCGCGACTCATTGGCTTCCTTCATCTTCTTCTCGCTCTCGGCCCGCAGACGCTCGATTTCCTTCCTAAGGTTCCGCTTTGCCTCGGTTGCCTCCCGCAACTTCTCCTTTTTGGCCACCCGCAAGAATTCCAACTCCTGGGAAGAAGAGATTGTAGATGTTAGCATCGAGGAGAGGCTCAGTCCATCTGGGGTTTATACGTACATAATCAATCGCTTATAAAAGTGTATTTTTTTTGTTAAATATAAGGTTTCCCATTGTGCTTATGCAACGGTTGTGAAAGCCAGTGGATATCCAGTATCTGACACATGGCTGTTTGACTTTGCCTCTGAGCTGTTGACACCCAAGAGCGGTGACTTGTTACAGAAGGCTGCAGTGTCCGTGTCAGTGTTTACACTGAGACAAGTCAGGGGTGAGGGCAACTTGTGGGCTGACAGAAGTTAGGTTTCCTTCCTCTGAATCACTGAAAGAGTGTGTGTGTGTGCGCGTGAGTGTGTGTAGTGGTAACACGCCCATAGTCTTCTCATGGGAACCTAGCAGTTGGGACAAGCATGTCTGTCATCAAGCTTTGTTAGTTCCCACAAAAAGAGTGAAAAGAAACAATCCCCATCACACCCATTACTCTGCAGAGGCTTTACATAAGAACTCTTTGAATACCATCAGGGTTAGGGTTAGTTCATCTTAACAGAGCAGGAATCATACCAGTGACTGGTTTTAAAGTAATTCCACTATTGACATAACTTTTGGTCGGTAGGATTCACTTTGCCTCTGCACAGCTCCTCTCAACACCGATGGAAAGTGAAAGTGGAATGCACTGGAGTCACTTTTCTTTGCTCGGGGTGATTTTTTAGCTCTCCCACACAGACTCCTTCGTCTGCACTTTCTTGTTCTCAGTCCAAAACCAAAAAAAGAAATGCAAGTCTGGCCTTTCCCTTTGCAGCAACATCCGCTGTCATTGTTATCACTTGCCAACTCATGCTAAGCTTTGTGGACAGGGATAAAGACTCCATATCTACTTCTGCATTTCAATGTCTGAGCTCTAGTCATTTCCTCAGTTTGCCAACTTTGAAAAGTTTCTATCGAGTTGATTTAAAAAAACGTTAGGGTAGGCTAAAGGATTGTATGAGTTGTCATCAGCAGCTGAGGCTGGGAAATCTCATTCTCTCAGCCAACATTGACACACATCATGGTGCGTTCACTACAGTGAAATCATATACTATGTAAATATAGCATATAAGTGTGAGAATAGTGACACTTAATCACCGGGGCTGAAGAACTGAATAAAGATGGCTATAAACTGATAATAGGCTGTTGCTATTGGCAACAAAGGAAACATTTATGAGTCAGAGTTTGTATAAGTGTGCTTTTCTATTATGTACCAAACAGATAATCACAACTTTGATATAGAGTTACACTGACACGTGTGACTGCTTGGTGGCCTTGAATGACAAGGAGGTTAGTTTGGGTGAAGCAGCTCCTACGTGTGGTATGATAATTGGAAATACATTCCCTTTTGCATTGTTTTTGCTGGAGCTGTTTTAAAATCTTCCATTGGCAAATGGAAGTGAAATAACTTCAAGTCAACTTCAATAGTGTTTGTCGAGATGCAACTCTTTCTGAATCAATAACCAATAACCAAACTGAGGCAAAGTCTGTGTCAAAGTCTACAGCTCTGTTTTTTAGTTAAGAAAATAGTTTCCCTCCGCTTCTGGTGTTTCTGCCAAGCAGGACCAACAACCCCTCAGACAATAATCGGCACTCAACACACACAAATGAGACTTACATCAAAGTTCACATGTGACAGCACAGAGAGCTTCTTTCTGAGTCGTCAAAACTTTTTTTTTTACAGATGTATGAATGATACTTCACCTGCTGGAGGCTGCGTTTGGCCTGCAGGGCCGATCCAAGCTTCTCCTCCTGCTTAACCCTCATCTTCACAATCTCGTGCAGAAACTTCTCCTTTGACTCTTTCGAGTCGAGTCCGCTGTCCAGTGCCTGCCTTAGGCTCTCCAGCTCTGACTCCAGTCCAAGCTCTGGAGGGGTCACGGGGGCTGCAATGGGTGCGATGGGTGCAGGAGCTGTAGGGGCAGTGCCCTCGGCCGATGTGACAGTGCAAATGGGCCCTTGGGCGCATGGCGAGCTCAAGTCCTTGGCTGAGCTGCTGGATGAGGTGAACGATGGTGACGACAGGGAGGACAGGGACGAAGTGACTGGTGGGAGAGGTCAGGGAGGAGAGAGAGGGTGAGGTTAGTGGAAAAACTCAAATGTGCTGCTATTGGAAATGAGCTGCCAGCTTTCTAGCTGTCAAGACCCAGTTGGTCTTGTTAAATCGGACTAAATTTAGTTGAGCCTCGTAACAAGTGATCTTTACATGTTTCGTAGCTGGTAACTTACACTCGTCACGGCTCTCCACTTCAATCTCCACCTCAGAGTCCTTGTCATCCTGAGGTGGCGGTGGCTTGCTGGCAGTGAAGGACAGTGGGCAGGGGGCCTCAGTCACTGGTGGCTGGAGCTCCTCTGTGGCTCTTCTCTTTCGGGGCCTCGAGTTGGCTCCTTCACCTGGAGGTTCACCTCCGCTTGGGTGGGAGGTGCTGGGTACTGATGGGGACAAGGGACCCATTTTACCCAGGGGTAGAGGTGTGAGGGCAACATTGGGGGCCACACCATTCTCCAGACTCTTGTAGTTGTAGAAGCTAAGAGGAAACAAGACAATTTAAATGTATTATAAAGCTTAAATGTAATACACCAAATAATTTATTAACAAGAGTGTAACTCTATATCCAAGTCAATAGAACCGCAACCACATTGCAGGGTCCAGCCGCTCCAAACCAGGGAAGAGAAACATTCAAATAAAGTGCCTGTAGCTGTTTCCTCCCACTTCATGAGACACTGGTCCAGATCAACTGTGATATGGTGGTGCCTGTACTGGCAGCAGCATGGCAAGTGGGTGCCCACATTATGAGTGTGTGTCAAATGTGTTTGAATGGTATCGTGTGGGAAGCTGTGGTACAGTCAGACTTGACCTCTGTGAAACCAGCCCACCCAGACAAGTGAGGGAGTGTGCTGGGAGCTCACCAGATCCCGCTCAACAGTTGGCAACCACTTCTTGCAGTTAAAGCTCCTCTTAGTGTTCAGCTATTTCACAGTTCCTGATTAATTTAATTTCTAGTTGAAGTTAAGTGCTGTTTGGTGAAAGTGTTGTATGGTTTGGATCTGGCAGTGCTGTGCTGGACTCACCTGTCTCTCAGCAGGGCCAGGGGGTGATTTGTGGGGTCCTTATCACCAGCAGAGATGTGGGGGGACCAGGGCCTGAAAGCTGATGGTCTCTGTCTGGGCTGGATGCAGTTAAGCCCCTGAAAAAAGAAGGAAATAGTACTTTACATCACAAGCAATTAAGAAATCACTTTTTGTAAAACTGCAACCAGAGAGCTTAGTGACATTTGTTCCATTCCTGTATACAGTTGGGACTGTATGTTTGGTTGCTACTACTGATTTGATAACTGAGGTGCAGACTCTATCTTACTTGACTTTGAGATAAAGACCAAAAATAAATCTTTTCATTTGACAACATAAGCAACATTTCTCATATCGTAAATGCAATGAACTGTTCAAGAACATTGCAAAATTTAAATATTATTATTAAACATCATATTAATAAAATTGGTTTTGATTTAAATCCGGTCAAAGGATAAATGAACAAGAATATTAATCTTTTGTGGTCTCCACTGCTTAAGTTGAGTATGTGATAGTTTCCATGATGTGTTTTATGGACACATCCAGGGTATTAAGTACTGATGAAGGGTTAGCCTCTCACATGTAGTTGATGTAGTTCAGTGTAAAATTGTGGATCCACTATGAAATTCTATTTAATTCGGAGCAAATGCAATCTCGGGTATTGTCTGATGACAAATTAGCCTCTGGGGCAACGGCTAATATTGTGTGGCTTCCAGTGTAGACAGTGGATATCCGGGCCAAGTCTCTTTTGTTTGCCGTTCACTGTTTACAGTCTGACTGGTTTCTTTTATAACAAGTTGAACAAGCCTCCACACAAAGCACAAACAGTGATACATTTGTAGGTGTTTTAGGTCCAGATGGTTATCTGAGGGCAACTCTAGGGCAAATGTGAATTGCCTTTTGAGACCTGTCACTGTAGACCTCTCTTTGACCTTGGGTGTGGTTCCACAGAGATGGGGCATTCAATAGTAGAATATTACAGGTCTTGATACAAACATTGGCTTATTGGTGTGACAATGTGCTGCAGGTTGAGGTCAATGTTTGCAGTTGTTGTTTTAATATAGTCCAAAGTCCATTAATTAAAAGGGTGTGAATGGGCCTGTCATCATTGTGCTCGAAATTTAGAGTTTCATGTGTTTGGTGACTGGAGAGGGGTCAGTAGGAAGATTAATTGTTGAAGACCGTCTGCAGGGTAGACACTTTTTTTTAAGAGAGTATTGATCTTCACAGTTGACATCCATCATTAAATTGTGGTTATATTCTGTTTCACTGGTCTCTCAAACTTTGCTCCATCTCAGTAAGCAAATCTGGGCAGATCGTGGCATCTACAGTTACCCTCCTCTGTAAGCACAGCTTGCCAAATCTAAATTTAAGCACTACCCTCATCTGAAAACTTCTGTATAATATTACACGACATCTCATCTCATGCACTATGCATCATTATCATCATCAGCATCTCCGTTCTGAGCTTAGCAACACCAACCTTGGTTGAGGCGGAGAGGGATTGTAGCCAGTCGAGCTGTTTCTCTTTGTCGGCCAGAGGGGATTGCGATGGGAAGTCTTCAAGTTTGGACTTTTTCATCGGGATGGGATCAGATGACTGGAAGAGACAAAGGACATTTGTTTTAAGTTTCAAAAATGCAGGACAGCTCATAAAAGCGAGGTCAGGTCCTTTTCCATTCAGTAAAAATTCTGCAATCATAAATCAAACCAAATCTCTACTATGTGAAACAAGTTTGATTGTGCAAACACATTCAGGTGGATTACTTTTCCCATGTGATATGAACGCACCACAGGTTGCACACTTGGCACGGGCTGTCAGTGTCAGTGAACTAAAAATGTAATAGTGCCAGACAGACCAATAGCTTTGTGTGTGTGTCAATGTGTGTCAATGTGTGTGCATGCGTGTGTGGACGCCTGATAGGGGAGTGCCAACAGAGGTGTCTGATAGCTGGAAGTGTGACTGTGTTTAAATTTAGGTGTGCTGTTGACTTTGTGTGTATTTGTGTGTCTTTCTGTGGCTTGGGAAGTTGTTTCAGGGTTACTAAGTTTTACACACACACACATGCACGTACACATACATCATATTTGCTCATGGGCAGCCAAGAGAGGAGGCAAGAGGTGACTGGGGCAGTGTCTGTCTGTCTGTGTTTTGTGTGTGTGTGTGTGTGTGTGTGTGTGTGTGTGTATGTGTGTGTGTCTATCATACACAGATACACCCATACATACAGACAAGTAGGGGTTTGTTTCTCTACCTCCCTTCTGGCTGGCTTTGTGGCTATGACCTCAGCCTCTCCAAGCTGTGGCTGTCACTAGCTGCCACACACACACGCACACACACACAGACACACACACAGCCACACAAACTAAGAGCAATTGCGACGAAACTGAAGTAAAGGTGTTACTTTTCTTTTCGAAACATTCTTCAGAAGGTGATAGTAAGCAGCGCCCCCTGCAGCCACAAGTGATAATTAAGTCTGTTGGGCTCTGAGTCGTAAAGGATTCCAAGACAGGAAGTGCTAACACTGAAAGAAATCTACTAAACCCAATTGTGGATGTTTTGATATATTTATTTATTTATTTTCCAGAATTTTGCAGATGTCTGGTAGCTGATCTACAATTTGGCGTTACTGTAGAACATGGTGGGCCTGACTATTATTACACACATTCGACAGGAGATCATATCTGCTCGACAAAGTTATCAAGTGTGAGAACTAGAATTTGGGGTGTTGACTGGTAATGAAAGAGGCAAAATTCTCTGCAAGCTGCCATTGTTAGATACTTGGAAAAGTAGAAGGTGAGATTGTGAAGTGGTGGAACTCCAAACTTAATAACAATCGAGTTATCGAGGATTGCTAATGTACCTCGCGTAACAGATTTAATGCCAATCCTCCAACATTTGTTGCAATATTTTAGTCTGGACTTCAATGGTGACTGACCAACTGGTTCAAGAAATCTCAACCAATCGCCCCCAAACAGCAAAGTCACATTTATGTTCTATCACTGGCTACAGTTAATAACTGCAGTAGCAATAAGGAATACATTCACAAACATGGTCCAAGTTTGTACAACTGATTAGTGTTGTTTTTTTTAATGGCTTCTTTAAAATCTTTTTCTTTGTAATTATATTTGTTGAATGTAGTATTTGGGCATATAATCCCAAACAATCATACAGAGGAGACCTGACTGTGCTTGGTAGGTCTCTGTGTTATATTAACATAAAGAGATATGTCCTATATAACAGGGCAGCAAAGCAGGGCTAGAGGCAAGAGACAAGTCCCTGCAGTTCAGCCCAGATCTCACACACACACA